AAAAAAAAAAAAAAAAAAAAAAAAAAAAAAAAAAAAAAAACAGAATACATCGACTCTGCAAAAAGCTTACCAAACCGACTGAGACACCTGAATCGCCATTTAACTGCTCATCTGAATCCGACATCGAAATTTCAAAAGGGCCATAATCGCAGCAAAATCCAAATCCAAAGCCCCTTCAAATACATTATGATAACAATAATATAGTGGAACATAAACCCATTACGAACAACTTTAAATTCTCGTAAATAAATTCAACCCTGATATTGTCTGCCTTCAAGAAGCAAATTTCAAAAAAAAATCACCAGCCTACACTAGAATATATCAACACCTTCGTCAAAAACCGGATGAACGGAAACCACGCCAGCAGAGGAGTAGCCATTGTAATTTCGGACAAATATGATTCTAGTGAAATTCCATTAAATTCAAACTTAGAAGCCGTCGCAATATCTATTTCATTTCCAAAAAGAATCCACATCTGCAATATCGACATTCCTAATAGCTTCCCCTTGATTTACAGGAAGATTTAATAGCTCAACTTCCAGCTCCATTGATCCTGTCCGGAGACTTTAACAGCCATCACGCTCTCTGGGCATCGACCAAAACTGACAGAAGAGGAAAGACTATTGAAAATCTATTTAACAACCAGGATTTAATCCTGGTTGTAGAACATAGGTTCCCCAACATAGGTTCAAGTGCAATAGATCTAATCTTTTCCAGTCCACAGATAGTTCAACACGTAAAATAGGATACTTTAAAAGAATTATACGACAGCGACCACTTTCCCATAAAAATCACCTATGGAGACAGTAGCACAACAACTCAAAATTACCTCTAACCAAAATGACATATAAGATAAACAAACTGGCCAGTATACCAAGAAAACCATCCTGGATTAACGAAACAATAAACAATTTTCAACAAATCATGATCTCAGCCGCAGGCAAATCCTTTGGAATTCCCAGACTGCAAAACTCAAGAAAACACCGGTACCGTGGTGGAGCGAAGAATGCAAAATCGCCATGCAAGAGAGTCATCACGCTTTCAATAGAGCAAAAAAACATCTCACAAACGAAAACCTAACCGAGTTCAAAAGGAAACGCGCCAACTTCCGTAGAATAATTAAAGAAAATAAAAAAAAATCGTGAAGGAACTACATATCATCGATGAATCCACAAACACCAACATCTGTAGTATGGAAAAAAATCAAATGCATAAATAGATCCAAATCCTCTACGAATATCCAATTCCCGGAATCTGATAATGGTAGAACCGTAACTCAAGCCCACGACATTGCTAACACATTATCTAAAAAATTCCAAGAAAATTCAAATAACATGAACTCACCACATCCTACAATAATCTACAACAATATACACCATGGTCTGATTCACAACGATAACATCTCATTACTAAACTCACCTTTAACACTCAAAGAAATAAGCTCCATCCTTATGAACTCCGCCCCAGGTAATATCCCCAACTCACTACTAAAATGCTCCCAGAAACTGGAATAAATTACTTGTTAAAAATCTTCAACTGTATATGGATCCCAGAAAATTGGC